CAATGTAGAAGCAATGCCGGAATGAAGGTGTGATTGCGGTTGTGGGTAACATCTCCAACGGAGCTCTCTGAATTTACTGCAACAAGAGTCACTTCCTCGTTCACTCACTCACTCACTCACTCACTCACTCATTCATTCGTTCATTCATTCATTCCCTTCGTCAGTCAGTCGTTGAGTCGGTCAGTCGGTAGTCCACCTTTGCTTAATCCCTGAAGCATCGTTGCATAGTGCAAAATGCTCGCGAAGGAAGTGAGAAGCAGGTTGATGGTGCTTGAGGACCATTTGCCACCTTCTAGTGGCCCTGGGGATTGCATAGCTCTCCATTTTCCACCTCAGTGACGTTCTCTCCCCACATGGTGTGTGTTCAATCTGCTGGCTACGTCAGTGACACTCACTACTGCTGTCCCTTTACATCTAAAGCTCGCTTTCACTAACAAGTGCCAAGAAAGGATGGCAGGTTATGATCGATCTTTAAATCTGTCTTGACATTCTTACTCAGATCGGTCTGCTATCGCACATCTAACCTTCTGCAAAAGAGATGAGAATCTGCATTTTTCATTTTTGAGGACGGATCAAACTTCTTTCATGAATCCAATATGCTCATCGTTAATCTAAATACTAGTCTCATCCCACATTATGTGCTAGGCAAGTTCGTGGCAAGCCGAACGTAATAAAGCGGAGAACTAGACCGATAGAGATACTCAATTGCGTGCACCTTGCCTACCTTTATAGGTGACCACTGACTAAAAAATTAACAATGCCTGTAAGTTGCTGAAGAATATAAAGTTCTCCATTTCTTTAATGAGAGATAGTGAGAAAAAAAAGTGGAGGTCTATGCCACACGTATATGCACACACCCTATCCACCAAACCCTCTCACTCTTACACGGTGAACTATGGCGGCCAACCGAAAATAATTCTGAGTCCATTTTCAAGGGGAGTGGAGTATACCCTTAGCTGATAAAAGACATAGTAATTACAGTAATTAAAAAATACACTTGCTCATTTGGCAAGTTGTTCACAGATCGAATGAATAGGTTTAAAGTGAGCATGTAATGCTTATTTGTTTTCTCCTCTTCCTCCTACTCACCCCTCTTTCCTTATTTCAGGTAAGCAATGGGATCGCCGACTTACTCGAATTTCTTTGTGTAACTTGGAAACATCCGGTTTTGCATTGGACGCGATGTTCAAGTTCCTGAGGAAGCACAAAAATAGAGCGTGGGTAGGCGTGAAGTTTGCTTCTCAAACTACGTTCCCTAATAATAATTTATGTTGTCGCATGCTCACGTATTGGCCTTAGTTGTGAGCAACGTAGACAGATTTTAATGTTCGCTATAGGAATAAAGAGGTGGGTTGGGTTGGAGGATCTTATTTATGCCAAAGAGAGCGGAGGGAAAGTATGAGGATATCAAATGCCTCTACTTCCAGCGTCTGTCTGAGCCTCTTCTATTGCAGTACAACTATGTAAACACTCATTACAGCATTGGAATTGAGCATAAACTTTACCGCTGACATTGTGATTGGTCAACGTTTGACACACCACATTGACGGTTTGAGTGAGAATGGCTACTGTAACGAGTGACGTTAATGCATGAGGTCGTATGGGGACTGAAGCAGAGTGGACCACACGTTATCGTATTAACTAATGTAGTAGACAGGAGTGATAATATTTGAAGTAACTATCAAGAAAAACGAGAATCGACCGAGTGTTGGAATGGATTATTTCCCCTCAAACAAAGGAGCACTCGTTGTGTGTAGTAGAAACATGCTCTTGGACCGATATACCATTCCAAAAAGAGTGCAACTTCCCTAGAGCAATGCATTCAAAAAAGAAGTGAACAGATGGTGACTATACTTGTACTTATCGGCCAACTCATTGTCCAATTCATTGAGGCGTTCAAAAAGGGAATTCTTCTTCTTCCACACATAAATCTCATTAAGCAGCTCCGGCACCACAAGAAAGGTTTTCCAGCCCACCTGACGCTTGGATTTGAGAATGTCGCCAAAAATGTGATCACCTGTGTAGAGGACATCCTTTCCTTGAGCGCCAATGAGGTGGGTAAAGGTGGCGCTGGATCCTATGCAGAAGCATAACAAGGTCGCATCAGCCTACCTCCATCAAAATAAAACGACCAGAATAGTTTAACCAGTTATAACGTTAGATTTTCGCACACTTAACTAGGAGTTTTTAGCACTTTAGATTAAAAAATGGATAAAGTCTTTTGGATATTCTAACTGGAATCTTGCAGTCGAACTGTGAGGACTGGCATTGCAGCAATAACAGGCTAGCAGGAGAAGCATTCTAATGAGCAGTTGGTGTGGGAATGAGGATTAGGGGAATAAAAAAGCACTTGCGCGAAAGTACTGCTGCCTCTATTTACTCTCGGTACCTGCTTGTGAACGACTGTGAACACTGAAAGGTATCCATGCCTCTACAAGAGGGGCGGAGCACAAGTGGGAGGGAGGAAGGTGGAAAAAGAAAAGGCAGTCTGACAGCTGGAAAGGATAATACCAATCCAAGGCGAACGAAGGAGGGCAGGAGGTGTATGAGCTTGCCAAAGCAGTCTCGAAGGTGAAAACGTTCTGCATTAGGGAATTCCATGTGTGGCAAAATGTGAATCAACGAGTTGGTGAGTGATGAGAGGTGGTGAATTGCCCAAGAGTGCAAATATTGTCGCACATTACAAATTACATTGCCTCCGCACGACTTGATACTTGCCATGTGCCGCGCATATTGCCACCCACTTGACATTTGGAGAGGGTAGAGGTAGACATTTGTCGACACGTGCTGACGCTTAACCCAAAATTCATGTCCATCCACAAGGAAGTCATGCATAAGGGGAAGGAGAAAAGGGCAAAAAGGCGTGTAGATGCTTGCCATCATCTTCCACTCTTCTTGTCGTTTAAAGGAATAAGCTTCCTCATTCGCATCAAGCTAACTATGTCATTTTGCAATTTCGAATGGAGGGAGGATTTCAGGGATATTAAGCGCTGTATAGACATATAGCAGATAAGAAATTAATGTAACCATGAAATGCGCATATGCCGCGATTTTGGGGAGTAGTGAGGTTGCAGCAACCCTCTCAGCGGAAATGCTTCGTTCGGTAAATGAAAAATCTGGATTTTAGTCGATTATTACAGTTGAAAAGCGTTTTGGCGTTGTTTTTAAACTCGCAGATGTATCAGTGTTGGATGGTTACAAAGGATTGTCGTAAACAAAGCACAAAAGTGTGCAAAGAATAACTATGATGGAAGGAAGAGTACACTTCTTTGTAGTGCTTAGACAGTAAGTAGATAGGCTGCTATTAGAATACTATGAAAGCATAAACCATGACGATTTATTCTTATTCTAGAAACTTTTAGCCTCAATACCGCCAACCAAGAAGAACGGAAAAAAAACGTTTTTTTTTCTTAATCCAGGAAAGTATGCAAAAAGAGGATCCTTCCCAACTGATAAAATCATAAAGTTGCATGCTAAAAGTTATCATTAGGCTATTCGACATTGTTCAAAGAGAGTGATGTAGTGCGATGCGTTGGTAATGGGTACTTCTGAAACGAATTGTTAAGTTATCTCAAGGATGAATCGTTCTTGCTCAGGACAAAGCTATGGACAAATTGTCGGAACGGATGCCACAATTGTTGGATCGTTCAAGTATCGTTCAATGTGCACTTTTACCAATGCTAGGTCCTTACCTCCAGCGTAGATTTTACTTCGTTCAAGCGGCCCCGCAATCTGTCCCATTTTACATCGTCCAGTAGTCTAGAAGAGGCAACTTCAAGGACATTAAATGGGATAGTTAGAAAAGGCAGTTCAAACCAATGCCACACATTCATCCCCTTCTACACTGCAATGAAATTGCTCCAAAGTACCATAAAACCAGGAGGAAAGCCTATAGAAACAAGCTGAAAGAATATGGAATGTATCCCCCTAAACAGTTGACTCATAGGGTAGCCTTGTCTGCCTTTCAGTCACTTCAAAGGAATTGGAGACAAAAGCTCACAGCATCGTTGAAATTGAAAATACAGATATTTTTTATGCAAACACAGATTCTCAACCCATTTTTCATGTACTAAACCAATTTCTACAATTGTTTTGCAAATAGCACATTGTAGACAAAAGGTTTGATCGCGTCGCCATTTGGATGAACAGAGGCACGTTATCAAATTTTGATGCTTGCATACAAACGCGAGAGACTAGTAAATAAGTTACCATATCGACGGCTCTCATCAGTGTGCCTTCCTGGAAGAAAACTGGCTTCTTTGCGTCGACAACGATGTAGTCGAAGTAAGTTGTCCAATGACGCACATTTCCCTTCAAAAGAGTCAAGACTTTGAAGCACTCATCTTAACTTAATATTGTAGTTGAGCTTATTAGACTACGCTCAGGTCTCCTTTGGGCAACGTGTTCAATTTTTTTTTTTAAATCTGTCTGCTCAGAAGCATGGCTTTTGACCAGTGTAAAAGAGTTTGAGCCGAACACGAAAATTCATTGGTGGCCAACAAAATGAGGCAGCGGAGGCTGTCATAATGTTAGTGAGCCTTTAACTGCCACCAGAAGTGTGTGGTTTCAACCCTCGAAATCTCAGAAGGGAACCACGGTTTTAACCATGGAGAATTAGCGTTGCATTAAATAATATCTTGAAGTAAAGTTTTAAAAAGGACAATCAAAGTTGAGACGTATTTCCTTTCCACCTTTAAATGGGTGGTTCATTGAACTTTTCGACACTAGCCTCTGATTTTGAGCGGTTATTTATTTATTTACAATGCAAAACGCGCGTTAGTTAACTTGTTTACGGCCAAACTCCACGAAACTAACCCAATGGAGACCAGACAAAGGAAACAAGTGAGGTGGAAACTGGCCAAACTGAAAGATGCTGGCTTAATGCTCAGCCGCTCATCCAATACGAAAACAGTGCTTTAGGAGGTAAAACCAAAACTGCAATACAAGCAATCTCTCGACTCTTAAGTGTCGTTTGAATGCTACTGAAATTTAGTTGCAGTTGACGACGAGACACACAAAATATAAAAGGCTTGCAGTAAAGGTTTCAATAAACTTGCCTAAAAATAAAAAAAACAATGTCCTTCAGCCTATAGGAGATTAATGCAAAAACGAACGTTCTTGAAGAGGTGGCAACTTACGTCTTTGTCAGGGAGGTTGCAAAGATATTTCATCACCGCCTAGAGAGGACAAAGGCGTGATCAAATATAACGACTATTTCAATTTTTGATAGCTGTGTCTCTTTACCAAACTTTCTGTTATTTTTGCATGACTAGCTCTAGCATTATCCACAAAAGACGCTTTGTTTTGAAATTAGGATTGTGAATATAATCACAGGACTTAATGGACTAAAGGCGAAGAAATACGACTTACATCCGAGTACTCATAATCGCTGTTTGTTAAGAGGAAAACATATGTCCGCTCCGTACGAAGTCTATAATTGATGTGGAACGTTAAAATCTAGTTGTAGTAAAACCCATCACTTTCGATATTGTTCACCAAACCCTACTTCCTTAAATGATTCTGAAATCAAGCGGTACAATGAGTGGTATGCTTCCTCTTAAAGTTCTACAACTTTATAGACATCAATAAAAAAGTATACGGCATCAAATTCGCCATTTGCTGGTAATTTTGTCTGATTCTAGAGCAAATGCAGATCCAGTAACATTCCTAGTTACTTACGAACTAACCATCATATGAGCCAAAATTTAAACGGTGTCCAGGACAATGAGTACATTTTTTTAGGAAAAGCGCAGAGCATGGATATGCAAGTACCTGACTTCGAAAAGTTGGAGCTAGGTTTAAACAAAGTGTCAGAATTTAAATGCCTCTCCTGATGGGAAAAGTAGTGAGCTATAAAAATTTTGTTGGCCCGTAGAGATAGATAAATAGCTCGGAAACCTGGTTAAGGTGTCAGTATCGAATAAAAGTAGACAAGTAAATGTGGTGAAGGCAAAACGACTAACTTGTCGAGCAGCACAAGCAACTTGGGATTTTGCTCAATGTAATTTTCTATGTTCGCCATTGTCTGCTTTTTCAGTTCGCCCTGGTAAATTCACAAAAAATTTTCGAGTTGAAAATTCGCAGTCTTGCAAGAAACGTAAGGCTACTCATTAATAAGTTGCGTCCATCCACTACCATATGCATCCAAGACATAGCTTCCTCCACATCTTGCAAGATGGACTTATAAGATATGTAGAGCGACTGATATTTAACGCCATGCGGTTCCTTGATGTACACATCGTTGCTGTGCATGTAGTGAATTATGCAGGCCAAAAGGTAAATTTCTGAAAGCAAAGGCTACCAAACATGGAATAAACTAACCTGGTAGATCAAACAACGTTGACATCACACGAATCCGATCTTTCTCATATTTTATAAAACGATTCGGATACAATTCGCCAATCTCTTCGCTTAACGTATCAAATAAAAAATATCTTACTTTGAGAGTACGTTAAATCCAACAAGGCACATAAGTATATTACCGAACTGGTCAATTTTCATCAGCGTGCCATATTGTTGATCAAACCACAAACCACTAAGCAGCAAAAACGTATACATCAACCAATAAGGCATTATACCGAACAGGAAAAGAAGGTTCGTATTCGAATTGGCTTAGCTCCTGAGGGTAGCCGAATTCGATCAATCGGTCACGTAGTATTTTGAAGGCAAGTTCTTCGTATTGAGGGGATTTATAAGCTAAGGTGAACTCTCAGACAGTGCCTTACAAGCTAATGTGTAGTCCATATCAAAACCAAAAAAACGGATTCTGTCAAGACGAAGACTTCTATTCACAAATATTCTAAGAAGGCAGAAAATTTTATAAGATGGGGATATAAACCTATTTTTTGTTCGTCTTTGATATTTTCCCTTGTGCAAGTTTCCAAAAAAGCACTCAGCATCGAGATCTTCAGTTGTTAGAGGCGGCTGCATTCCTTTCCCAACAAAACGCCTTCCAAATATGACGTCTCAAATTCCGCACACCTTCAAAAAGGAGCCAAATTCTGCAATTACTTAGATAATTTAAAATAAGAAGGCTTTTAGCAAAAAATCTTTTAATAACCGTACCGAATTGTTTTGAATGCTTAAAGGATATAATTTAAACGTATTGAATATTGTGCATATATTTAATAGGTATTTTGACGTGTTTAAATTCAGTTACAATATCGAGTAAAGATTAATTTTGTTTCTTTCCAAAAACTTGTTTAAAAGCTTTTAAACAAATTTTTATACCTAACACTTTTCAAATACGCAAATGATTTTTGTAGTGTCTCCAATGTTTTCCCAGAGTAAACAGTTGAATTGCGTTAGGCACATTACGCGTATTCTAGGAGGAGAACTTGGTAATTGGCTTTGCATTGGCCCAAAGACCAAACTACATGCACAAGGGCGAGATCAACAACAAAGTAATCGCATTGTCTTGGGTGTAGCGCCCCGAGATTTCCCATAGAATCGTAGAAGGCATAAGTGAGGGTGAATACATGTATTCGGAAGACGACAGGGCAAATGGGGTCTGAGGGTGACCCGAAGGCCAGCCCATGTGTGCAGTGACCAAATTAGTTCTAACGTGACCGCCAAACGTCATGTAGTCACATAAACAAAGCATTACACTGCCCTTCTCTTCTATTGAGCGACATCCTCGGCGCTTCCCTTTGGTATTCCTCCCGCGCCAGCCATTACAACATATTCGTACTATATGAGAGTATCCTCGAGCCACTCGCATCAGTCGACAGACAACACGAGACCGAGTAACCGTACCTGGTGTCCCCGGCAGATTTAAATGGATCTGGTGTTACGTTTGGTCAGACAACCAGATCCGGGACCGCATAGACCTGTCGACCATCAATTGCTTCCAAGAGTGGATGGTAGAACTCTGGTCTAAAACATGTATGTTGCAGGGGAAACGGGATGAGCCACTGTTACGTATGCGAGGAGAATCCCAGTGTCATTTCCAACACCTAAACACGAATTTTGTATAAGAAAATTCGGCACGAAACTTCTCCAGATGGTTCACGTCGGTGTCCGAATCCTTTCATTGTGAAGGGGTCAGGGATTCTTCGTCACCAAGATAAATGCATCTCCTTCAACTCACGTCCTTCTTCGCCTGCATTTTCGTCTAGTGAACTTTGATAGACTCAGACCTCCTTCTACACATGCATAGCTCATGATTGCCGGTCCACAACGCCAAAATGCGCTCATTGATCTTGGATTTCCTCAATAAAAAGTAGAATTCCTTTGCAGTCTTGTCTGCTGGTTGGATTATAAGCTTCTCGCTGTGAAAAGAAAGGTTTTGAATTTCCCGCCAAGGGAACCCGATTTTGGGGTATCTGCATGTATTGAACCAGTGCATCATCCGATCGAACCGTTGCCCGTCTGGTTGTTCGTACTGTTCTTTTCCGGAAATCGGTCGATTAATTGGCAAGGTTTAGCAATACAAACAGAAGATGTCAGTAAGACACCGGTGTCTGCTGGGCAATAGATTTTCCCGCACACTATGTTGCTTTCAAAAGCACCTTACGCATAAAAGTCGTCAAAAAATATCTGGTTCGCTTTCCGCTGCCACCAGTGTAGCGTCCCGAGGCTTCCTATAGGGTGGAAGAAGGCATAAGTGAGGGTGAATACATGTATTCGGAAGACGACAGGGTAAATAGGGCTTGAGCGTAGCCGGAAGGCCAGCTCACGTGCATAGTGACCAAACTAATTCTAAAGTGACCGTCATATAAAAAGCATCACGTTTAATATGCGCTGTTTAGGAAAGAGGTGCGGACGCAATTCAAACGCAATGAAGGTTACATGCTAGAAAGCTTCCCAAGACTAGCTCGTATATCGTAGCTGCTACCGCTAATTTTGTAGAAGGCTGAATTTGAAGATGGAGAAGGTTGGGAGGGTCGTTATTTTTGAATGCTGTAGCATGACTTATATTATCGACGGCAAAGAGTGAACTCACCGTTTTATCTCGGTTTATTTTTTTATGGGGACCCTCTAATCTCACGGCATTAAAAGGGCCTGGGATCGACGTTTGCTTCTGGCAATTACCCTATTCACTTGTCCACAGACAAGCTGGTTGCAAACGTAGAGACGTCTGCTGCGATGGCACATACAGGAGATGTATTAAAAGGACCATATATTGCTTCTGTAGTGTGGCTTGGCCTGTAATATATGCTAGTTTGTATAAGTGTATTATACAGGTGGGAGGCGGAAACCAATTAAGAACGCGAATCACGTGCCTTTAGGCCTTTAGGAGGTCTTGTGACGCTGCATGCGATCCTATTGGTGTCACCGTGGCTGAAGGTAGCAAGTGACACATTGAATTATGCAATGACCTAACTTTTTGGCCATACACAGTCGCAAAGCTTTTTGCACTTAGAAATAATTGTAGCTTTTAATTACACTTTAGTATCCTGCGACTCCCTGCGGAACAGAATAAGGTAAAAAGTGGAGCTGAATACATGTATTATAAGGAGAGCAAAGTGATCAATTTTTAGCTTGGTCCGAAGGCCAGCCAACGAGTAAAAAGGCCAAGCGACCTCCAAAATAACCACCAGCTGGCATTATTGTTGAGCTTGATTTGTATGATCGTCGCAATCGCTTAACAACACTTGGATGTTCATGTCGCATGAATTGGATAATAAACTCTGGTTCAAGTCAGCATCTTTGGTTTTGATCTCCACTAAAAGCACACGTGCACTGGTTAGAAAATATGCCTGCCTTTAAGCTTAAGGAGGATGCAAGCAGCTAAAATGGACTTACATTTAGTGGCTATTGGTTCAACATTCTGTACCTTGATGACTGATATAACCCCGGTTTTAAGCCATTAGGGAGGACAATAAACCAAAAATGCGTATTATATTTGAGGCAGAGTACAACCGCACCACTTTGATGATGTAGTCACTTGATGTCTGGCGGTAGCTCAAGTAATTATCTGGCCCTTCAATGCGTGGGCTAATCTTCAAGCCAAGGTAAAGCTCAATCCATTCTTCCTCTCTCAATATGCATGTATTCTGCCCAATATCATGTCTTCCCCTACCTGGTGCAAAGTTGTGGGACGCTACACTGGTGACGGCGGAGAGCAAACCCGACCTTTTTACCGACTTCTATCTTACTATCCAACTTTTTGCGACGTGCATCTACGATGCGGAGAAAACGCGTTTACATTGGGGAGGGGGGGGAGATCGTCTCAATCCCTCATAACAGCAGCGTTTAGAATGATGTTTGCGCGGAGCTACACATCGTCCCCGTGCTCCACATACAAGTTAACAGCTGAAGCAACACCAGCGCGAACCATCAGGAGAAGTTTCGTTTCGGGATTCTTCTTCCTAAAACCGCGTATAGGCGCCGTAATGTCCCTGGTCCACACTGCCTTACTTACGGAACTGTGTCTGATCCCGTTCCCCCTGTTGAAACCTGTCGCAGACCGGTGTTTCAACGTCTAGTCCTGGAAGCAAATTATGATCAACAGGTTTACGCAAACCTTATTCCTGCTTTCGCATCTAACGTAACTCCAGATTCATATGAAGCCAATTAGAAAGCCAAGTACTGTCCCTTAGTCTTATGGTAGCTGATGAATGATGCGGCTGGAACGTGGATACTTACTTGTACTATCGAATTATGGTGTGACGGCTGGAGTGAGAGGTGAAGCCGGAGCCGCGTCGAAAAAAGTTGTTCGAGAGAGGAGAAAGGCAATGTCCTACTTCGTTTTTGTAGTATCGGATGTCTATTGGATGCTTTGGTATTCGTCTGGCCATAGTTCGCGAGAGCTACTCTTCAGGACCAAGCGCAGGCTTGATCCATTTTCTCGCCCAAAATGCATGTATTTGGCTTAACTTGGCGCTGTCTCTATTAAGTGTTCATAAATTCTGAATGAGAAGCATAAAAGCATAAATTAAATTAGCGTGTAAGCTGTACTTTCGAGATGAGTAGAAGTGATACGGCCAGATACTGTAACTACTCGTAGCTGAAAATCAAATAGACGCCGAGAAAAATATTTTTAGTCACTAACAAAACGTATTTATTTTTAAATTTCATAACTGTTATTTGTTTTTTATTTTATAAAATCATACGAGCGCCAATTTTGTTTTTAACGTGAGCTGTATGGTGTTGTGGTCGTGACTCAATGGCCGAGAAAAAGCAAGATCTGCAAGATACGCAGCGTTATTGGGTTCGTATCACCCTGACATCTGTGGCCGTGAAACCCTTGGAAAAAGTTGCTGAAGATGTGAAAATGCGGGCTGAGGACATGAATCTTAAACTCAAGGGTCCTATTCGCCTTCCAACCAAGGTAACTTTTGCGCCTTTCCTACCTCGGTTTAGACTCTCAGAATTACCACTCGTAAAACTCCATGTGGCGAGGGCTCCAAAACCTGGGATCGCTACCAAATGCGTATTCATAAGCGCATTCTGGACCTTTACACCACTTCTGAAACTGTTCAGCGATTGACTCTCTGTGATTTGGATCCGATGGTTCGTGCTGAAGTCAAGATTGAGGGAGGCAGTACGTGAGATATTGTCTTGCCTTTGTAAATCCTCTCCTTAATACATAGTGGTGGTACTTTGTCTCACTGTTTCTAGTTCTAAATGGCAACTCATTTTGTGTTTGATGGTTAATGCGCATGTTTGCATGGCATCTCCGTTGACCCCTTAGATTTTAACACCGTTTGGTGGAGCCACATATCGGAGAACACAGCGCCCTGTGACTTCGACATGGCAATCTTCTTGTTAGTTTAGGATTCTCATACTTAAGACGACTTTCCACTACGGTTGTAACCTTAGTAACTTGTGAGAGTGATGCCCAATTAGGATGCGGAGTCTTCAGGTCTAATCACTTGCTCCGATTCCCCGGGGAAATTTGTTCTGGTGCTCTTATCTCTAATAGACATAATAATCTATGAGTCGCTTTGTTGCGGCACCTCCGAATCAGGCAATGTTGGCTTTGCGTTACATTAACGAGACCATTGTCTCAGTTCTGCTGTGCACCAGTGACCCAGTTTTTGGCGATTAAGGGATGTCCCGGATGTTAGTCTGTAATTTTGGTTACCCTCCTTGTGGGACAATCCACTGAGAGAAGCACACACTACTATAAGCTATCTCTGGTGGAAAAGGTCAGGTACTGCCAAAAATTATTTAATTTGGGTGCGGAACTCGGGCGCTTCCTTGGGATTCGTCACATTCTAAATGCAGAGTTGGTGCCTGTCAGTGAGTTGGACTGATCAGAGGACGTCAAAACTTGAACATGGCAGTTTCAGAATAGTAAGACTCCCTCGTTCTCCTCAATTATTCGACTTGCCTGTTAGGCAATGTTAGTCATCCATGTCTCAAAGCATACACAACTGGAGGCCGAAAAGGTTTAGCTGGATTTAAAGTACACAAGGGTGTAGGGGGAGCCAGCGTTGATGCAACATTATATTGTTGGCCATTTAGCAAGTAGAGCATAAACTTCAAGATGTCTAGGAGTGAAGGATAGTTTCGTCCTTATTTGTATCAATGTTTCTGTGGAAGACCACCCTCCGGAATTCACTTGAACACCGAGAAAAGGAACTGCTTCCTACTGTTGATAGCTTGGTCAAGCCAATTCAGTTCTAAAAGGAGTTGATTCTTTAGGAATATGAGTTCTTCTGCACTCATATCACTAATGAGCCGAACGAGATCGGCCTCGTTTTCAGTAATCGGGTTGGAATTCGCAGTTTCTGATGGAGTCCTGCAATGGTTATTTCTGTCCTTGAGTAGTGAATAATTCCCGATGTTTTCACTTAATTCCGATTTGCTATTAAAATTAAAATTCGGTGGTAGTACAGACTCAACAAAAACCGAGTCAAAAAATTGTGAAGCAGACCGAACGTCATCATTAACTGTCTCTGCTATACGCAGGAACTCCTCTTTTACATTAAGAATCTTGGTAACAAAGTCTGTCGTCGTCATTGGGGCAACTATTTAGGTTATAAGTTAAATTAGTACGGTAAATACAGGCAAATCGATCCATGTTAGTGACAGCTACCTCAACCTAGAAACCACTAGTGGGGGACGCGCCTCTGTGCGCAATCGATTAAAACACATAGGCCTTGTGAATGCTTGAGAAGAGCTCCAAAACTCCACGATTCATTCATATTAAAGTGCGCTTTAAGGTTATCAAATACTAAGTCAACCAAATTTTACGGTCCAGTGAATTTAGATGAAAAATATCAGACAACCGAGACCACTGCACTCGAATGAAGATCCTCAAGCCGCGGCCACGACCAAAACTTCCCCTTCGATGCGTAACGAAAGAGAACAAATCAGCATAGAGCATATCATGTATCTCAATGACCAAGGACGGATAAAGGAGTGAAATACTACATGTGTGATAAATCACTTTGAGGTGACACGAAGCACGTCCGCCTCCCCTTCCCGTTCAATATTTTCTATGTGTTCGGCTAGGAGTGGTGGCTTCTCCGGCACATCCAGAGCCAACACTCTCTGCCTAGCGTCCTCTGGAAGGTTGCCTAGGTAATCCACACCCTCAATGTAGACTTTTGGCAAATAATCCTCCAGCAGCAGACACACTAGTTCTCGATCTTTCATTGTTGGATTTCCTTGAATCAAAAGACGTCTAAGGCTCCTGTCAAAGACGCAAATGGGCACGTTTTGGTCTTACCCAACAAATATTTTGCGCACTTCACCGTCTGGTGCCATTATGCTAGCTTACTTGAGTTCCGTAAGGGCGGTAACCCCATTGGCGGATATTCGTGGGCATTCGCTTATGTCGAGGTATTCCAATGGTGATTGGGTAATCTGTCCAACCAGGGATAAACAATGATCATTCAGGTAGAGGCATCGTCGCAACCGTAGCATCTTTAGACACGTCAGGCGTGCTAAGGGATGCAAGAAGCACCTTTAATCACACTTATAAAGCAGAATATTAAGGTCCAAACATCTTCCAAAACTCACGAAGCATCTCCAGACCCTCGTACATAACTGCAGTGCCGGAAAAATCAATGATCTCAAGCTTGAGATCATCGGAGTAGGTCGACGGGAGGTTTGGGGGGCCTCTATTGTAACTTTGGTGCCAACAGCCCAGTGGTTCACCGACGAATTGCACTCGACCACCGAGATCACAGACCATGTGTGCGACAGCCAGGTCTAGACTGCCCCGGCGTTTGATCATTTCATCTGTGATGCTATTCAGCAAAAGGGATTGGAGAGTGTAAAGCTCACCATCTTAGTAGTAAAAAATAGCATTATACTTATCAGACCGACAATCATTATATACTGATATCACACATCTAATGTGAATGAGTTGTTCGTCTGTTGATAAAATTGGAAGGAAAATGGAGGAGATTACAAAGGCAACAATGCGATGAGACACCAGGTCAGAAGAGTTTGAATCCTTGGGAAAATAGAGCCTTTTAGTTTCATTATTTGACGACAAAATGCATTTGGACATGGTATACTTAGCTCGGATACATAAACATCTATCTTCCAGTCAGATCGTAGATAGTATGCCACAGGAACGTACACTTGTCTCTGTTTGTGTTTTGCTAACAGGCGTTTTCGCGCGCGCTCTGCGAAGCCCTGCATAGTGAGATCGAAATCGTGGGTTATTTTTAAATGTGCCCGCACCATCTGATCGCCAATCCATTCGTTTGAGTTATCGATGAGACCGGTAGGTACCTTGCGCACCTTGATGCTTCCATCGGCAGCAGTGGTCTGTAACTCAACAAACTGTTGCTTAATGTGGCAGGAGCGTGTGTAACCATCAAAGGGGTCGGTGGATGAGGTTTTCTGATTGGCAAAACAGCGACGGAGAATGTGACTGTGATTGTAAGTGGAGAAAAGGACAAGATCTAAGGATCGACGCATCCACTGCAATGCAAAAAAAGGGCAAGATTCAATGAAGACTGATGCACAACTGATCATTTACTAATCACTGAGGATTATAAGGGCAAACTTTGACGCAACCAAAATTGGTTAAAAAAGAATGCGAACAGTGGACGTAATAGATATTAGAGAATAATTTTCTAGATTTTAACAGCGCCCAAATCTGACAATCGAATAAACTGGAAGAAGGTCGCGGGTCAATTTTGTGCTACCATTCCCGTGTGATCTGAAGTTGCCTAATCACCTCATAACCACGCCAAATAATGATGCAGCTTGAAAGACACTTCTAAACGTTTTTTACAAATTGAAATATGAATAGGTACACCTGAAAGTCCGAAATTGAAAGAAGTGCAAGAAATACAAGAGTAGTGTTAAACTTCAATGGAAAGTGGCAGTACAAAATGGGGAGCAATGGTTCCCGTGTTCAAAATAAGTCGCGAATTATGGCGTTCAGTCATCATAACCTAGAAGATTTACTATTAACTCCTAACAAACCCAGATTTACAGCAGCTGTATCAACAGAGCTACTTTAGCCTAAATTTACCACTGTTACAACTATATGTACGGTTTGACGAGTCGTGTTCGTGATCGCAGTGATTTCGGTAAATAAAATAAATAACAATGACGTCGTCTCAGTTATACTCAAACCCGACATCGATTCCCTATGGTCGCCATAAAAGTATCAAGAAGTAAAAGGGAATGTAAGGGCTTAACCTAGATGATAGCAACATCAAAACATAGCTATCTATCTAAAGAGCAAGGGACGGTTTTAATAGTACAAGCTCTTGCATTACAAAAGGAAGCTGAGGAGTCGGCTAGAAGAAAGCACGCTAATTGGCAATCGTGTAGAATTAAAGTACCAAAAAGGAACAGACGGTGGGGCTGTTAGTAAACCTCTGACTAGGCTAGAATGATAAGATAACGTGAAACGCAAAAGACGAATGTAAAGCTTTAAAAATTAAACCAGAATCTGTGCCTGAAACATGATTTAGTCTCAAGTGCTAATAATGAAATACAAGTTAGCATAAAGTTATTGAAAAGTTCGAGCTGATGATAACTCCAACATCAAGCCGTAAAACACTTGCAAATTCTCTTAAAAATCAAGAGGTAGATGGAGCTAAGAAACAATGCGCAGTCCTATAATTACTAGCATGAATGCAAACAGTGCCATAAATGGCAGAAAACAGGCTTGAATAAAGCCAAAGCACGCACAACACACACACTTGAGCGTGTAGCGAAGCCGGTTATAAATTCCGCTCAAGGCTGAATTTGACTGAACATCTGGTTAAACGTAAGCGCATGACTTTAAGCAAAGCGTAAGCTGGAATAAACTCACAACGAAAGGGGTTAGCAAGAAGTCTCCAGTTTAGCGAAAAAAGACTGAAGTTTTTCAAAGACATACATATTTAGCATAAAGTTTTTACTTAATGAGTGAAACAAAGTATCTTTGATCCTAAAGCTAGTTATCAGTTTTGCATATACTATTATGACCTCTGATCCTGGCTCGTTCCGGTGTATAACGAAGCCATCTGAGGGGGTCCTACCGATAAAGTGAGGACTGCATTAATGCAGAATATATGCGTTCAACATGCCAATTCTGTAATATATACGCTGCAATGTGGTTAACCTCCTTTAATTGAGAAAGGGCAGCTTGCTAGTTCAAACGCAAATCCATATTTGAATAACGCGAGGTCTCTTTGATATGCAATACAAGACCGCCGTCTTAAATAAATCATATCCCTTTCCACAATGTATTAGGTCTAACCTGACGAAATGTTGTCCAAAGTCTCGGGGCACGGCAGGTGGTGAGATTGAAATGTTCTTAAAACCAGTTTACTCCACAGAGATGTGCATTGTAGTACCCCAATTTTCCCACGGGGTAGAAGAAGACATAAAGTGGAGCTGAATAAATGAATTCTGGAGAGAACAAAGGAACAAGGCCCGAGCGTGACCTGAAGGCCGGCCTATGCGTACAATGGCCGGACAGATCTCAACAAAGTATTACACTGCCCACTCTTTTTCTGAGCCACTTCCTCGACACTCTCCGCGGTAAATCCCGCACCGGCCATCGCCCCATATTCGATACCGCAAGAACGGCTTCAGTCAAAACCGGAGCCGAAAACATTTGTTGACTATCAGCTGCTTCCGGGACTAGATGGTGGATCTCTGGTTTAAAGCAGGTGTGTGTAATGCTCTGTTTATGTGACTACCTGAGGCTTGGCGGTTACTTTAAAAGTTATCCGGCTCTTGTTCAGGCTTATTTATCCTATCGTCTAAAGAATGCATGTATCCAATTGCACATATTGACTTCTTATACCACCTAGGAAGTCCCTGGGCGCTAAACTGGTGGCAGCGGAAAGCAAATCCGACAATTTTTAAACGACTTTAAGCCGGTGTGGGGTCTCTCTGCAGCTTGTTCTTTATTGGTCGTTTGTTAAAAGCGACATAGTGTCCGGGAAAATCTATTGCCCAACATACATCGCTGTCTTACTGGCATTCTGCGTTTGTGTTGCTAGACGCAAGGGCAATGGTTCGATCGGATGATGTAATGGTTCAGTACCTACAAATCACACAGGATCTGGGGATGTATGTTGCTTGTTCTTGGTGTTGAGGCTTCGGGTTTGAGTATCTATGAGCCTGATAATCTGTTGGACCCCAAAATCGGACTCCCTTGACCAGAAATTGGAAACCTCTCTTTTCACGACGAGAAGACAAGACTGTAAACGAATTCTACTTTCTAGTGAAGAAATCAAAGATTAATAAGTGCAATTTGGCGTTGTGCACCGGCAGTCAT